AAGAGGAGCGATTGGTGGAATGATGATGTAAAGAGAGCAGTAAGGGAGAAAAAGTTAGCATATGAGAAGTTTTTACAAAGTAGAAGTGATGCAAGGAGGGAAGAGTATATGGAGAAAAAGAGAGAGGTTATGAGAGTGGTGAAGCAATGTAAAAAGAGAGCAAATGAGAGAGTGGGTGAGATGTTATCAACAAATTTTGTTGAAAATAAGAAAAAGTTTTGGAGTGAGATTAACAAGTTAAGGAAGCCTAGAGAACAAATGGATTTGTCAGTTAAAAATAAAAGAGGAGAGTTATTAAATGGAGAATTAGAGGTATTGGGAAGATGGAGGGAATATTTTGAGGAATTGTTAAATGTTGATGAAGATAGGGAAGCTGTGATTTCGTGTATAGGGCAAGGAGGAATAACATCTTGTAGGAGTGAGGAAGAGCCAGTTGTGAGTGTGGGGGAAGTTCGTGAGGCAGTAGGTAAAATGAAAGGGGGTAAGGCAGCCGGGATTGATGGGATAAAGACAGAAATGTTAAAAGCAGATGGGGATATAGTTTTGGAGTGGTTGGTGCAATTATTTAATAAATGTATGGAAGAGGGTAAGGTACCTAGGGATTGGCAGAGAGCATGCATAGTTCCTTTGTATAAAGGCAAAGGGGACAAAAGAGAGTACTTCCCATCTCCAGGACTCAAGTCCGGCCTGCCGGTTTCCCTGAATCCCTTCATAAATGTTACTTTGCTCACACTCCAACAGCACGTCAAGTATTAAAAACCATTTGTCTCCATTCACTCCTATCAAACACGCTCACGCATGCCTGCTGGAAGTCCAAGCCCCTCGCACACAAAACCTCCTTTACCCCCTCCCTCCAACCCTTCCTAGGCCGACCCCTACCCAACCTTCCTTCCACTACAGACTGATACACTCTTGAAGTCATTCTGTTTCGCTCCATTCTCTCTACATGTCCGAACCACCTCAACAACCCTTCCTCAGCCCTCTGGACAACAGTTTTGGTAATCCCGCACCTCCTCCTAACTTCCAAACTACGAATTCTCTGCATTATATTCACACCACACATTGCCCTCAGACATGACATCTCCACTGCCTCCAGCCTTCTCCTCGCTGCAACATTCATCACCCACGCTTCACACCCATATAAGAGCGTTGGTAAAACTATACTCTCATACATTCCCCTCTTTGCCTCTAAGGACAAAGTTCTTTGTCTCCACAGACTCCTAAGTGCACCACTCACTCTTTTTCCCTCATCAATTCTATGATTCACCTCATCTTTCATAGACCCATCCGCTGACACGTCCTCTCCCAAATATCTGAATACGTTCACCTCCTCCATACTCTCTCCCTCCAATCTGATATTCAATCTTTCATCACCTAATCTTTTTGTTATCCTCATAACCTTACTCTTTCCTGTATTCACCTTTAATTTTCTTCTTTTGCACACCCTACCAAATTCATCCACCAATCTCTGCATCTTCTCTTCAGAATCTCCCAAAAGCACAGTGTCATCAGCAAAGAGCAGCTGTGACAACTCCCACTTTGTGTGTGATTCTTTATCTTTTAACTCCACGCCTCTTGCCAAGACCCTCGCATTTACTTCTCTTACAACCCCATCTATAAATATATTAAACAACCACGGTGACATCACACATTCCTTGTCTAAGGCCTACTTTTACTGGGAAAAAATTTCCCTCTTTCCTACATACTCTAACTTGAGCCTCACTATCCTCGTAAAAACTCTTCACTGCTTTCAGTAACCTACCTCCTACACCATACACTTGCAACATCTGCCACATTGCCCCCTATCCACCCTGTCATACGCCTTTTCCAAATCCATAAATGCCACAAAGACCTCTTTAGCCTTATCTAAATACTGTTCACTTATATGTTTCACTGTAAACACCTGGTCCACACACCCCCTACCTTTCCTAAAGCCTCCTTGTTCATCTGCTATCCTATTCTCAGTCTTACTCTTAATTCTTTCAATTATAACTCTACCATACACTTTACCAGGTACACTCAACAGACTTATCCCCTATAATTTTTGCACTCTCTTTTATCCCTTTGCCTTTATACAAAGGAACTATGCATGCTCTCTGCCAATCACTAGGTACCTTACCCTCTTCCATACATTTATTAAATAATTGCACCAACCACTCCAAAACTATATCCCCACCTGCTTTTAACATTTCTATCTTTATCCCATCAATCCCGGCTGCCTTACCCCCTTTCATTTTACCTACTGCCTCACGAACTTCCCCCACAGTCACAACTGGCTCTTCCTCACTCCTACAAGATGTTATTCCTCCTTGCCCTATACACGAAATCACAGCTTCCCTACTTCATCAACATTTAACAATTCCTCAAAATATTCCTCCATCTTCCCAATACCTCTAACTCTCCATTTAATAACTCTCCTCTCCTATTTTTAACTGACAAATCCATTTGTTCTCTAGGCTTTCTTAACTTGTTAATCTCACCCCAAAACTTTTTTTATTTTCAACAAAATTTGTTGTAACATCTCACCCACTCTCTCATTTGCTCTTTTTTACATTGCTTAAACCACTCTCTTAACCTCTTTTCTTTTTCTCCATACACTCTTCCCTCCTTGCATCACTTCTACTTTGTAAAAACTTCTCATATGCTAACTTTTTCTCCCTTACTATCTCTTTACATCTTTCATTCCACCATCGCTCCTCTTCCCTCCTGCACCCACTTTCCTGTAACCACAAACTTCTGCTGAACACTCTAACACTACATTTTTAAACCTACCCCATACCTCTTCGACCCCATTGCCTATGCTCTCATTAGCCCATCTATCCTCCAATAGCTGTTTATATCTTACCCTAACTGCGTCCTCTTTTAGTTTTTAAACCTTCACCTCTCTCTTCCCTGATGCTTCTATTCTCCTTGTATCCCATCTACCTTTTTACTCTCAGTGTAGCTACAACTAGAAAGTGATCTGATATATCTGTGGCCCCTCTATAAACATGTACATCCTGAAGTCTACTCAACAGTCTTTTATCTACCAATACATAATCCAACAAACTACTGTCATTTCGCCCTACATCATATCGTGTATACTTATTATCCTCTTTTTCTTAAAATATGTATTACCTATAACTAAACCCCTTTCTATACAAAGTTCAATCAAAGGGCTCCCATTATCATTTACACTGGCACCCCAAACTTACCTACCACACCCTCTCTAAAAGTTTCTCCTACTTTAGCATTCAGGTCCCCTACCACAATTACTCTCTCACTTGGTTCAAAGGCTCCTATACATTCACTTAACATCTCCCAATAATCCTCTCTCTCTCCTCTGCATTCCTCTCTTCTCCAGGTGCATACACGCTTATTATGACCCACTTCTCGCATCCAACCTTTACTTTAATCCACATAATTCTTGAATTTACACATTCATATTCTCTTTTCTCCTTCCATAACTGATCATTAACATTACTGCTACCCCTTCCTTTGCTCTAACTCTCTCAGATACTCCGAATTTAATCCCATTTATTTCCCCCCACTGAAACTCTCCTACCCCTTCAGCTTTGTTTCGTTAGAGCCAGGACATCCAACTTCTTTTCATTCATAACATCAGCAATCATCTGTTTCTTGTCATCCGCACTACATCCACGCACATTTAAGCATCCCAGTTTTATAAAGTTTTTCTTTCTTCTCTTTTTTAGTAAATGTCTACAGGAGAAGGGGTTACTAGCCCATTGCTCCCGGCATTTTAGTCGCCTCATACGACACGCATGGCTTACGGAGGAAAGATTCTTTTCCACTTCCCCATGGACAATAGAAGAAATAAAAAAGAACAAGAGCTATTTAGAAAAAGGAGAAAAACCTAGATGTATGTATATATATATATGCATGTGCGTGTCTGTGAAGTGTGACCAAAGTGTAAGTAGGAGTAGCAAGATATCCCTGTTATCTAGCGTGTTTATGAGACAGAAAAAGAAACCAGCAATCCTACCATCATGCAAAACAGTTACAGGTTTTTGTTTCACAGTCATCTGGCAGGACGGTAGTACTTCCCTGGGTGGTTGCTGTCTACCAACCTACTACCTTTATTATTATTAAATTTTATAATTATTATTGTTAGTTCATTATTTTTATAGCCCTGGCAACCAATTCGTCGAAAGGTAAAAAAAAAATGCAGCTTGAGTCGCCCACCTGTCTGTAAGAACATGGGATGAGTGTATACAACAGACCCTCATCACAGGTTTAGTTAGAGGAAATGGCCTCATTACGTGCTAAGAGAAGAAATGTTTGGCCTCCAGGCAACCTCCTCACTTAATTGGTTAATTTAATAGCGAAGCCAAGTATTGAGGCTTTCGCGGAGGAATGGACGGAGCGAATGTTGGGGAGACAGTTTGATTTGGAGTGGAGGGGGAAAGATGGAGGAACAGAAGAAGCAACTCTGGACTGAGAAGATGGAGGGTAATGGTGAGGAATGGGGGAGGAGGTGGGATTGGGGGCAATAGAGGAAGTATGAGCTGGGGATGGAGGCAGTGGAGAATGAAAAGAGAAGATGAGTGATTTGGAGATCAGGGAAGAAGGGGTAGAGAAGGCGCTTGTACTTCAGTTATGTGAGATGATTGCAATGCTTTGGTTGCGTGTAGAAAATTGCAGGGTTTGGATGAAGATAAAGGCTTACGGAATTTAGGTAAAGTATGGAGTCAAGAAGGAAACGGGAGAGGAAGTGAGAGGTGGGTGAAGGGTGAGCAAGAAAGAGAGAAAGGAAGGAATAGTGAGAGAAGGGCAAAGAGAGAGAGAGAGAGAGAGAGAGAGAAAGAGAGAGAGAGAGGACTAAAAATATGCGTATGAAGAATTTTAAAAGCTTTATCCCTTCTCTGGCATTACTTTTGCTTCATATTTCTGCCATTATATCGCACTACTCATGAACTGCAGGAGCACTTTCGGCTGGGTATACCTACGTCACTACAGATCTCCGTCAACGGAAACTATACAAGGCTCAGTGTAAGACTCACGTGGAAGAAGCTGGTGGCAACGGCTGTGAGGGGCGGAGTGAGGAACAAGGGTTCGTTCTCCAGCAGGAAGGCATCCACTTTGCCCTTGGAGCTGCTTCTGACAAGGTCGTTGACGCGCCGGCGGACAGTGTCGTCCAGCTCTCCCGGATCCACATCCTCAATCACGGCGTCGTAGAACACTTTGATGGTTCGCGCGAAGAAGTCGGTGGAGTAAGGGTTCTTTTCCTGGTGGAAGCAAGAACTGGAATAAGGATTTCTTATCTGGAGGTATTAGAAGGCAGGAGAGTAACGGCTCCCTTCCAGGATGTGGGAAGGAGCTAGCTGAGTATTCCTTTTCCTAGCAACGGGGAAGAGGAAGACGAAAAAAGTTTGTTTTCTGAAGGAGAGAAGGTGAAAGAGGGAAAGTTTGTGCTAATAATAATGTAATTAATATACGAAGATATAGCAGAAGAATCAATGGAAGGACAAAATGATACTAATAGAGGAATAAAAGAGAGGGAGAGGGAGAGAGAGAGAGAATGCCAGGAAGCAAAATGAAAACGGGAGAGCGAAAAATCAAAATCTTTCAAAATTTTGAATTTCAGTGGGAAATAGGAAATACTAAGCAAATATATGTTCACTGGTGTTAAGAAATAATATTGCATTTTATCCCTATATGGAATGTACCTTGGTGCTAGTGAAGGGCTTTCGATCCAAGTAATTGAAGCTATCTTTCCTCTTTGGTTCACTTACGCTGAGTGATACACAAGCCTCCGCAATGAGAAATACACATTATATCGCATATACCGTTTATATGACGATGTGATTATATTTTTGCTCATTATCAAACTATTATTGAAGTCTCCAAATTATAATTTACAAACACTGCATCAGCTTAATTTTGTTTAAAGAGATCGTTGGTTTTAACGAGATCGCTGTTATTTTGTATCTCCTATTATGCAATGAAGACCCGTGAATGATAATTAGGCAATAAAGGGTCAAAATAACGCTACTAGTGTTAAATTTACCACGAGAACCATAATATCATCGTTGTGCCAGAGCTCACTGTAAAAGTTTTTATCGGAATATCAGCAAAATGGTGAAACATCACAGAGAACACTTACATGGGAGTACATGAGAGACAAGTAATAGCAATTTTACACCGAGGTTATCTGCTGAGTAGAACTGACTACTTCAACCTAGATTATGGACCACTGGTGTACTGCCTACTTTGTGGGTCGAGGAAAACTCAGGTGTAAAAGAAAACAGTATAACGAAGAGATGTATAACGCTGTCTCAGTCTGTGAAGTTCATTACTAGTACGCTGAGGATGATCTCGCAAGGAAAAGAAAACTATCTCAACTTTTCACTGTGATTTCTTTGTAATTGTTATTTTTTTCCCGGTCCATATACGTATAACTTGTCGGCAGACTAACTACTGAACCCGGAACGCCACGATTTTAGTTCTTTCTGTTGCTATGAATCCGTAATTTCAAAATGATAATCACATAGATGACCTAAGACTCTTAAGCTATTATGGTCATATTTTTGTGAGTGTATAGCTTGTAGTGAGTGCAGTTGAGTGTATGCTTCACGATTAGCTGACGGAGGATCGAGCCTACACAATGGTACAACGCTTCATGCAATACAATAACTTGCTTTGAGTGACCCATACGGAATAAGTGTTATATTCTTTGTGTAAAACATTCGCGGATCTAATGAACCTTCTCAACGAGGAACTGGTTCAGTAAGACAACATCGTGGGCATCTGTAGTCTCCTGCACCGACTGCGTCACATTCTTCAGGATGAGGTGAGGGTTGAAGGTGAAGAACTTGTCCATCTGGAGGAGATCGCTGAGGGCCCCAGAGGAAGAACCGCGAGCCCCAATCAGAAGCATACCCAGGGTGGAGATCAGACTTAGAGGAGACATGACGAAGTTCCTTCTCTTGTGATGGCTGGCGGCTCGCTTGTATACCTGCAGGAATCACACGTCATTGTCATTACTATATTTTAGCAGAAATATCACCATTCCAGTAGGAAAAGCATCTCCAGAGGGTGGCTGATGGTGGTGGGAATATATTTGTCAGGAAATTTGGGGGAAATAGTTCGAACGAGAGCCTTAATCATGTGTGGCAACCAATCCCTGTAACTTGTAGTTATTTGACTGTGGAGATTAAAATTTTTATCCAAATATATATTTTTGTGGTTTATTGAATAATATCTTAGGGATAACTCTTGTCACCTTTAATCTGGAATTAAATAAGATGACTTTACAATAATAACGATTTTCCCTTTCATATTACACAGCCAATAATAAAGAAGAATTTGGAAGAAACATTTTAATCACATAGGTCAGTATTATGTATGTTATAACAACAATAATAATAATAATAATAATAATAATAATAATAATAATAATAATAAATCTTTAGTTTTATAAGTACATAATGCAACTATTACAAATCCAGCTAACATATACAGAAATCCCCTGGTTACGCAAAGCATTTCGGGTAATTTAGGTTAATGTTGTCCTTCAGAATGCGAGCCACAACAGCCGGCTAACACGCAGGTACCTACTTACCACTGGGTGAACAGGGGGCAGCAGGTGTAAGGAAACATGCCCAACTTTTCACCCATTCCGGGATCGAACCCTCACCCTCAGTGTGATCCTCTTAGCCTTTCACACTACGGTTTCCTCTATCATTAAAAATATTGTCTATAATTCTAAATATTCCTACCGTTTATTGCTATATATTTATATTTATTCGTTTATAG